ATAATGTATAGAAACGTCAAAGTGATCCGATGCCAGCGCTGCGGCGAGTAGTTCGCGGAACTGATAATATTCAAATCAACCGTTAAATGCGTGAACGAAGATACACAATGAAGAGTTACGTCTGTTTGTCTGTGGCCAAACGGTAAAATTCGACAGTGCATCGTCCTCCGAGCATCCAATCACAGATGGCACACCACAAGGTTCAGTGTGTACATCAATAGCCTGCCACGGGATTTGAAGTGTCAATATTAGCTTTACGCAGACGACCTACAAATATACATCTCAGGTCCCAAGGACCATGTTGATGTACAGTTAACTCGGACCAGCCGGCGCCGGTGGTGTAGTGGGAAGCGTGACTGCTTTCTAACACCCCAATGGGTCTGGGTTCAATCCCAGCCGAGGTCGGTGGGATTTTTCTTAGGCATAAAAATCTCTGGTCACGTCTTCCTTCGGAAGGGAAGTAAAGCCGTTGGTCCCGGCCCATGTGTGTTGTAATGATAGTACAACCAACACGGAAGAAGTTTATACAAGCTGTCGTAATGTCATTTTTCACATACTGCGACGTCGTGTATCATCCCGGTTTATCGGTGGCGCACAAAGAATGGCTGAATCGGTGCTTTAAGGCAGCAGTTCGGTCCGTGTATCACTTGCAGCTCAGAGAATCAACGACCGCGGTGCGAGACGGAATCCTAGGACACGAACTAGAAATCAACTACCGAAACTGCATTAGCTGTTTCATGCGGCAAGGGTACTTGGGATCCCTACCTGAATACCTGCAACAACACCTTCAAAGGGACCAAATGGATCGAGCTCGATCTTTCACCGTTCCGAGACACACTACTTCCGAAAGGAAAAGTGTGCTCGTCGACGGCGCCTTCACCTGGAATAACCTGCCGATAGCCATCAAACAACAACCTACCATCTTCGTCTTTAAGGCTGCCCGTCGGGGTTATTAAATCAAATATAAAACGTGTACTTTCTCTAGCTTCCAAAGCTCACATGTTATAAATGCATTTTCCTTGACCTGACAAAGGGTACAACCGACAGGGTATCGTAAACTAAATAAATTACAATTACAATTACAATCATCAAGGAAGCGCCTGCAGAAGCGGCTCAAGCTGAAATTCCAAGAGATGGAGCGTAAAGCGAAGGCAATGCTAGTGTTCGGGACAAAACTACCGTGAAGGCTATGTGGAAGCGGCTCGAGGACACGTTTGCAAAAAAGTCAGCAGGAATGCAGACTTATCAGCAAGCACATTGCTATGCTACACCTGAAGGAAGTTCGAAGACTTGATTCGAATGGCGCCGATCCAGCCAGGAGGTTGTTGAGGAGAATGACATTTGTTCGGCCATATCGTTGACATTACCGGAATCCTACGACCCGCTTGTGACGATGCTAGAGAATCTTCCGGAGTAGGATATTACATACGAGCTGATGAAGTTACGATTGATCAGCGAAGAATCGAAGCGTCTACTGCGTTTTCTGGTGATCCTGCCAGGAGACGAACCTGGAATCTTTGAGACCACCGATAGGTAATAAAGGGCAACTCACCCACTTGCAAGGAAAATTGGAAATTTGAACGCGACCGGGACGGCCGTTCTAAGAAAACGAGTTAGGACGGATTTGCGAAAAATCGTCTCCTCGTGGTGGCACGGCCACAGGATAGAACGCGACCGGGACGGCCGTTCTGAGAACACGAGTGAGGACGGATTTTCACAGGTGTGACGCCAGTCAAGTCCAGCAAAAAGAAGAAATCGATAAAGAAACGGATTGCTCTGGTCAGGCACAGACGAGGATGCAAAAATGAAAACACTAGCTTCTCGGAAATTTGCATCCTCTATCTCCAGATTCCGGTCCAGTATCTGTGGGATTTGTTCGATAACTGCAATGGGCACTGTGAATGGACAGCAAATCTGTTGCTAGAAGAGCAAAAGACATACGAATTCGAGACAGCGGTTAATTTGGAAGCCGGTGCAGTTGGCGGCCTACTCGCGTTTGAATGTGATTGCCATGAAACAATGGTAACGCAAGTGGTTTCCGGTTATCCCTCCGGTAGTGGTGGTGGTGGAGGGGGTTATAAAATCGATCGGTCTACCGTCAGCTCGAAATCACTCCGGAACACAACGAAAAGAAAAGACGAAGCGGAAGATGTGCAAAACGATCCCTAAGTGCTGGAAGTGACGTTGGGAACTAATCTGACAAGCCAGCTACATGCCACTTTCAAGGATAAGCATGGCTCGGGTGCCATCTTCTTAGACGAACTAACCAATGAACGAACAAAGGTTTTATTTCTACCGAAATGGCAGAACAGTTGTATTTGTCGTTCTTGGATTCCATGTACAGCTGCAGGGGGAAAACAAGATTTTATGAAAAAAAGATGCTCGATTGGCACAGCAAATGGAAGCGAAGGAAAAGTATCCCGTTTTGTTCAAAATGGCCATCGAGGACTCCCCCAACCTGAACGACATTATGGAAATGGAGTACGCGCTAACGGCGTACCGAAGTGAAATCAACGGCTGGGCTTAGCAAGCTCCGCAAGATCTGGCCTCGCATATGACTCGTCAAAAGCTAGCCGAAATGTATCCTATCATTGACGAGAAAGTCCTGGCAGAAATCCTACATGCACACAAATTCTGCGACACTATAACCGTCCTAAACAATTCCATTCCGGAAGAGCTGAGAAACCAAATCGCCGACGAACGGAAAGCCCTTATGAAGCGAGCAGAATGCGAAAAACAGAAACCACTTCCTTCGTCCTCAACGTCGCCGCCTCCAACGTCTCTCAGCGAAGACGACATCAATCTTCACCTGAAAACGGCAGAAGAATGCCGCAATATGTCCCAGGACCACCAGGAACTGAAAAACGAATGCCACGAGAAGGCACGGAATGCCATTGGGTGGCCGAGTACTATGTCCAGGTTGCCCGGCTTTATCGAACCAAAATCGATATGTACCGCAGTGAGACCTCGAATGCCATCATGGAGGTGCACAAGCTGACGCTGAACAATGTGGACGTGTTGGATTTGCACTATCTACACTCGGAGGAAGCGCTGCAGTGTTTAGAGATTTTCCTAACAGAGCACGCCAGAAAGCTGACCCATCGGGCGCAGCAGTTCAAAGAACTGTTCATCATTACAGGACGCGAGTTGCACTCGGCGGATGTCATACCGATCATCAAGCACCGGGTGAAGACTATGCTGCGGGACCTGGGATTGAGGTAACAGGAAGCGATCAAGATTCAGTAATTCATTATCATTAATAATTGTTTAAAAATACTTTTTATAACTTTTATACCAAAGGAGAGGGAAGATATGAGATGGATAATAACTAGGTAGGTCATGACTTTTCTCACACATTTCCTGTCAGTTGGTGAAAGGTCATTTTGGGTTCAGGTGCACGGGTAAGTTGAACAATAATTAGCCGCGCCGTGGGATTTGTGTGGATTTGCCCATAACTAATATAGGCGGATTTTCACAATATCCAGAGCAGTTTTCGTACACACGCAAAAATTATGTAAATTTAGGTGCTCTGAAATTGATATATAAGAGCGTCAATTTTGACATCAAATTTAGTCATACCAGACACGCAATTCAACTCAATCAAACGTACTTTTCGTGGAGTAACGAACTTTTCAGTCTCGGAGCACTTAGTTTTACATGAAATATTTGTTTACGTCTGATCCTTTATGTCAAAGATAGATTCCGTCACGTGTAACATTAGTTATTTCTAAGTGTGTAGATCTATAATCACCTGAAGATCTTTGGAAAAAGCTTGAGTCATTTAGTTTCTTGAGAGATGTCTATGATGTAGAGCAAATTTATTTGCTCTATCAATTTTTCGACTCCGAACAACAACAGAATGAGTTTCGATTTGACAACTCGTTTTCCCCTGGCCGTCTGTCATCTTTCAGATTAGAAGCTCCCCAATATCTTTCATAGAAATTTGAAACAGAGTTCCATTCTTGAAGCATTCTAAGAGCATCTTCATAAATAAAACAGAATTGTGTAGCAGTTTCAAATTTGGTGCCAGCTAGTAATCGAAGAATGAAACTGCAGCTCAGCATTGGGAGGGGTGCGTTTCTGTTGTAGTTTCAAATTGAAACAGTCCATTTAAAATTCAACAGCATTGCAAAAGGCCTTAGAACTAGTCTAAAACAAACTTTAGAACACCGGTGCCAGGGTTCGGTCTGGATCTGTTAAAAAAATTTTGATCAAATAATCCAATTGGACCACCGCTAAAGATGCTCTAATCCTTCATCAATCTTTGCCAATTTTTGCAAAGGTTAATATTTTGGGGTTACCAATCGAACTGGAGGGTGGCCTATCAGAAATTCATCTCTTTTTAAAAATGAAACACCCGATTTATTTCGATTTGTTCTTTTGGTAACCACTGCTGTGCAAACAGATTTCACGTTATTTTTGCCAATGAGGTTCTTATCTAGTATCCAAAACGTCAAATACAACAGGGAAAGCTTTTGCAGCTGAGTGATTAACAAAGATCAATACAGGCAGGACCTATTGAAATATTTATCTAGTAATCTCATTTGATTTTAAAATAGGTCCTGTGTTAATGGTCCAGGACCACACTGGCCATGTTTTACGAACCCCGGAAGGAACTTAAACCGAGACAAAATAACCGAGATATAAAAACAAAACCTAGGGCCTAATTTTCTCAAGATAATATAAAAACGAGATTGTCCTGGGCAGCAAAGGTTCTATACACCTGCCCGGTGGATCAACATGTTTTTTTTTAACATTTGATATGGATTTCAGTTAGTTATAGTGTAGTTATATTAATGCTTAGAACAATACAGCAATCGTTTCAAAGTAAATTGTTTGCATATTTTTTCCTTTTGCCAGAAACTACTTTGTATAACACTCCATACACCGCATCAGAATTCCCAACCACACACGCGGGCACACACTCACTCGAACAAAAACCCGGTTGGTCAGTGTTTTCCATGTTATCGCTTGATGTGGCTTCAAACTGATGCTCTTACCTTCTTTACGATTCTGCTCCGTCCGAGGTTGGCTGTGGTGGGTTTCCCACAGAGCGATTATAACAATATGTTCCGGTTCGGTTGGTTGTCCGTCCCGAGTACTTCCTCAAAGAAACTCCGGCCAAGCTCCTGTTGACTCTTCCTCCCACTGTTAGCTTACACTTTTCTCTCGATTTGAACCGGTGGGTGGTGCAACAACTACATGAGGAATTATGACCGGAAGTAATCCCCTGCTGACAAGATGGGATATTTTCCACCAGAATTCTCGGCAACAAAACTTAAACACTTGCTCGTCGTCGCCGTCGTTGAGACACAGACACACACATACACACACAGAGCTATTCTTTTCCTATTTAGCCCGGAAAGCACTTGTCGGTTGAACTCTTGACTTTTGCAACTTCTTCTTCCTGCTATTCTGACACTTGTCAGCGACACTTTTTTTTCCCTCCTGCTTCCTTATCACACTCTTTTATCTTCCCATTAATATCATTCCTTTTATCAAGACTGAGCCACGTAGACGGTAGTGGTTTCCATTCACAAACTCTTTCGCCGACGATGTAAGGCACTGACACTCACTTCGGCACTTCTCTTCCGTTACTTTTTCACTTTTTCGTTGGTTTTATTTTCCTGCAAGAAAAGCAAACAATTTCAATTGTCAGCTCTCGAGATCTTCGCCAGCTTCCTTCTATCCGGCACACATGCACTGGAGCACTGGTAGCTAGGCGGCTCGCTCACTGACCACTGCTGGAATCTTCTGGCTCAACAATCTTCTCAGAGCTCACAATCGCACAATTGAATGATGAGAATAATTTTCAATTTGAATTCATCAAGCCGTGCAACAACACGAGCAGACAATACGGCTTGAGCCCGTCGTTCGTCTTGGAACTCGCGTCGCTTCTGCCAGTGTCACACCGATTTGAACTAGTGGTGACCCGAACTTTGGTCTGGTCCCAAACTCCACCGGTCACTTCTCACACGCACTCGGTACCACCTCGCTCGGTATGGATTCTTCCTGTTCGGCTGGAAAACTTCAATGAATAACGGCTGCGGCGGCGGTGGTGGCGGTTAGGCGCAATGACATTGTTGCGGTTTCTGCCCGTTGCGGTTGGACCCGTTGAGGGATATAAAATTACGTCGTCGTCGTCGTCGTCCCCGTCGTCGCCGTGCTAAAACAGTTGGATATCTCCTCTGCTAGATGACCGCACCGTCACGCCGGTGAATTACACTAGTTTCACACAGTCTTCTTGTGCTGCTGATGCTGCTGAGGCTGCGAAACACACCGTTGTGGTGGTTCGATGATTGACTCGTTCAATTGAAACGAACGGGTTGAACCAGTTGGATTCTTGCCTGGAAGGAAAAAAGTACCCCGCAGATGGAGGCAACACAGAAAGAATGACGCGTTAGATTAAGTAGTATCTGAGATGGGATGTTGATTGTTGAATATAGCTTCAATGATGATCCAGTAGCGTTGTATTTTGCCAGTAGTGTAGGCGAGTGCCATAATGTACGGGCTGTTACTCATAACTAGGTTCTCGGAAGAACAATGAGTTGCTTGCTGTATCAATCTAGAAGTGATAGAATTGTCTAGCAGCTACACAATTTCCAATTCAATAAGGCATGGTTCACGCTTTGATCAACCTTGATTTATTTTACATCAATGGTTGAGTATTAGCACATAACATACAGTGGAACTTCGAACTAGATGCCTTTGGAAAAGTGAAGTCATTTCAGAATCCTTACTTTGTCATAACTGAAATTGAATTTATCGAACAGAAATTTGAAATTCTGTTTAGTTTTCCAATAGATTAATCTCACGGACACACATGCAATTATTTGATTGTTGGCGAGTAAATCGCTTCATTATTTATCGAAAGATGTCCCAACAAACAATTCAGAGTCAAAAAAAAATGCTGTAGAACAGTGTACAATGTGGAATTGGTTGTCGAATTATGTGCTGAAAAAAACTCATTGAGATCAATACCCGAGCAAAGTCCAGCATCAAATTGAAATCAAGTTTTGATATCAACATCAAACTGAAATCATGATTTGATTTCAGTTTACGCAATTGACAAATTTGATACCTAATTTTGTTTTCATTTTGCTGTACATTTGCTCTTCAAAAATATGTTGTTGCGGGTTTTTTTTTCATTGCCTTAGCATAACATCAAATTAAATACTTGTTTTGTTATCAACAGGAAACATTGATATCAAATTGAGTTTTCAGTTTTCTCTCACTGATAGCAGAATTAGTTTTCAATGTGATGTCACAGGAAGATTTGTTTGCTCTAAATTTTGATATTTTAACCGTTAAAACGACTAAAAAGGTATTGGCGTAGCTAGAAAATTTATCTGGATTTGGCCTAGGGGGATCTGTTGCTTTTTTATTTTGTTAAACTACGGCTAAAAAAAAACTCGCGAAGATGTTTGTCAAGGTAACTTGTTTTTGGGTATTTTATTTTTTTCTGGGACCAATAATATGACATTGAGGCTTACTATTATTTTAATGGTTAAATTATTACGTATCAGTGGGTGTTTCTGTGAGGAAAATAATGAAGCGGTTCTACTAACGCGAGAATTAACTTTATTGATTGGGGCTTTAAATAGAAATAGGGGAATTTACGTATTCTCGGCAACCTAAGCAGCGACCTTCTTTCTATAGCCTTCTTCTCTATGGAACGCACACATATGCAGTATTGGTTTGTTTACAATTTTTTGCTGCCAGCTGCTCTAACAATTTCAGTCGAAAGAATTGTCAAAAACTGTTTTGAAACGCTTTTACAAAGCTCCAATCTTCTCTAGTGAGAGCGAGTATTGTCGGCAACCAGTTTTTCTTCGGCAACCGTTCCATTTGCACTGCATGTAAATCTGCTGTTCTATTATCGGCAACTCGAAATCAGCTACAATTTGTAGTGCGTGTGTTTCATATCAAGAAAACCCTGCTAGATTGCTTTTTCTCAGTGGTAAAAATATAGTCAAATTGAAGCTGAAAGCATAAAGAATCGTTTGCATGCATTCAGCGAAGTGTTTTCATAAGAAAATCCAGTGAAAATAGTGTTTCAATTTGGGTTGCCGAAAATAGTCTGTCATGCCGAAGCCGTCATTTCCCCTATAGCTTTCAACATAAAACCATCGAAATCGAACTCGCGGTTTTTATGTTCTTCTATTGACTGAAAATGAACATACATAATATTTCCTCCCTCCTTCAAGAAAGAAATACAAAAGCTAAGGAGAATATCTTCGAGGGGGACGTCGTTGTCTGATCGATCGACGCAATGCAGGTGGAGAGTTCTTTCGACGTTGATCCGGGCTGCTACTTGGCGACAGGAACGGTTCATCGGACGAATCAGTTGAATCAGAAGAACTTTCGGACGTTGCACTGGATTCTTCGTTGTCTGTCGGCTCTTGTGACGTCAAAATGTTAAATTTTCGCTCGTTTCAGTGCACTTTTGACAGTCCGGACGACTGTCAATGACTTTTGTCGTCAACTTGACCCAGTGTCTGTACCACATCGATTTCGGTAGCTGGGTTCTCCGACGACTCTACTTGATCAGTGGAAGAGTTTTGGAACTTCGACCTTCCCGATCGACACACCTTGGTGATATGGCCTTTTCTATTGTACGTGTTACACCTAGCATCGCGGAAACGACATTGATTCCGCATATGTTGCCCACCACATCCGTTGCAGGAACTTGATCCACTGTACTGCTTGCTGTGAGTTTGTTTTTCATCCGATGGTACCCGCTGGTACAACTGATGTTGAGGTATTGATGCGTGACGATTGCCCTTTCTGGTCCTCGGTGTTTCATATCCGAGCTTGTTCGTTGCCTCAGGTTCCGCCGATGAGGTTCCCGTGTTGACTTTCCTTGCTGTGTTACGGGTTGCTTCCAGCGTGTGCGCGATGTCGTACGCAGCCTTAAATGTTGCCGGATTTTTCGCGATGATTTCGTCGCACATATCCCTAGCTTCTAGCCCGTGCAAACACTGTTCAATCAACATCCGATCCAAGAATTCACCGTATTCGCCGTATGTAGCGCCTTGCTTCAAACGAAGAACGAACTGGGGAACAGATTCACCCTTATTCTGTATGATGTGTCGAAATGAGAGAGTGAGAGTGGTGCATAAATCATCGTAGCTAATCCTGGCAGGGTCACGGGGACTCACAAGGAACTTCAATGCGTTGTTGAGCCCTGCTCCCATGTGTACTCTAGCATGATTCGCGTACTGAGCTTCCGGAATGTGACTCAGCTGCAATGCCCACTTGAACCTCTTGAAGTAGTCAGCGACGGATGCTTTTTCCGTGGAGCGGAACTCTGACATGGAGAACGGGGGTACCTTCGGCGACGGAGTGGCAGCTTCTCCTGCCGGATCCGGGTTCGTTTGTTGGACGACACTTCCCATTGATGCTCTCAGAGCCAGCGCGATCATTTGAGACAGGGCCTCCATGAGCTCTGGAGTCACTTGAGCCATTTTTGTTTTCCGGAGTATGAATTTTTCTGACGATTCTAACCTCACATTCGGAACGCTAAAGGTTTTTCCGAACTCTCCCACTTCTGACACCAAATATTACATACCAGTGGGTGTTTCTGTGAGGAAAGTAATAAACCGGTTCTACTAACGCGAGAATTAACTTTATTGATTGGGACTTTAAAGAGAAATATAGCTTTCAACATAAAGCCATTCGAAATCGAACTCGTGGTTTTTATATTCTTCTATTGAATGAAAACGTAGCATACGCTTGGCGTGTTCAGTATAGGTGGCAGTATTACGGATCTCATTTTCCAAGAACACCTTCAGTACACCTCGTAGATCAGACCGGAGACACGTTTGACACCGCCACGGCGAGCCAGACGACTGCTTTTGCTGCTTCTGCTTCTGCTTCTTCTGTTGTCTGCTTACCATGGCGTCCGAAGCGAAATTGAGTTGAGGCTAGACAGCAGCGCTCTTTTATATCTATATCTTATATATAGCAGAATGATGTGCAACCAAGTGGTAATTGATTATGACGACTGCGTTTGGGAACAACGTGAATTTCATGAAAACAGTGAACAAATTATTACTTTTTATTTGTACTTTGGATAATGCTTGACATTACCACTTTTTCAATAGTTTTTTGTTGGAAATCATCAGTTGGAAGCATTCCGTAGACATATTTCTGATCGATTGGTGATAAAATTATTGAAATTGATCCAGGGGCAGCTGAGCTATTAATGTTTAAAATCTTTCATAATTTTGTTACATGTTCTATTTTTGGTTTTCACAAAGTGTACCCCAGTATAGAAATAAAAGACGTAGTCCTACGTCAAAAAAAAAATACGAATCAAATATTTTGCGATAAGGAACAAAACTACAAATTTTAACGACATTCTGATAACCACTATATCGTTTTGCTATGGAATGACTGATAGCCAAATCACCAAGGCACGGGTCTTCCATATAGAGAATGTTATGTTTGTAAAATGTAGATTCATCATTCAAGATTCCATCAGATTCAAATAGCTGGTAAACTTTTGAATACTTCCCGAACAACCTACAGTTGACTGTAGTCTTGAAAGAATATTTGAATTGGTTGCTTGGAAAAATATCCAAAGAGCTTTACTAATATCTCGTCTATATGGAGATCATTTGAATATTTCCAGCTGTCTAGGAAGGATGTCTGAATGCATCATGCAACGTTTCCTGAACATCTACAAAACTCCCTTAAGTTTTACAAATTTTCCTCAACTTCTACGAAGTTCCCTGAATTTATTCCAAATTCCATATTTTTTCCATCTCTACGAAGATCTCTGAACATCTTTGCACTTCTGGAAAGAAAACTATCATCTGCAAATATTCTTGAACATCTGGAAAGTTTCTTGAAATTTAACGAAGTTCTCAAAACCCCCAAGAAGTTCATGGAGCTTTTTTGAAGTAAGATCTGTCACAAACTGCAATGAAGTTTCCTAAACTGAAGCGAGGATCTCTGAAGATCTTAGAAGTTTGTTGAACTATATTTAGATCTTCTACGAAATTTCCTGAACTTTTTCAAAATTCCTTACACTTATATGAAGTTTTACGCAGTTTCTCAAAACTCTACGAAATTTGCAAAACATCTACAATGTTTGCTGCACTTCTACGTTTTTCGCTGATTTTCCACGAATTTTCACGAACAAAATTTCTGGAATTTGTACGTAATTTTCACAACTATCCCAAGTCCAAGTTTAAAAAAGTGTCCTTATATTATATAGAGGTTCCCGATCATTATTGAGCTTCTCTGACATAAAATAATGCTCCCTTAATTTCTACGAAGCTCGTAAAATTTAATTAAATTTTCCAATTCTACGCAGTTTTCAGAACTTTTCCAAGTTCCT